TATTTAAATAATAAAGTAATAATAAATAAAGGCTAATTATAAAACTTAATATATTATAAGGTATTAATAAAAGTTATAATAAAGGTTAATTAATTTATATAAACATTTTAAAAATAATAAGTTAAAAGGTAAATTAAAAGAAGACTTATAAATAATATAAGGAATTAATTATAAAGCAATTTAACTATAAATTTATATTATTAATGGGATAAGTAAGCAAAGGGGAAAAAATTAAGCAATACCTTAATTAAGAAATAAAAAATAAAATAAAGCTATATTAAAATAGGATATAACTATTTTATAATAGTAAAGTAAGAGCTTAACGGAAAAAAGGTATTATAAAAGTTTTATGGATTTTTAAAATATAAAGCAGCTTTAATAATATAAATATAAACCGGAAAAATAAAACTTAAAGCTTTCCTATATAAAAGGAAGGTTTTAAAGTTTTTAACCCCTCTTTATAAATATATAGAGGGTAAAAAAACTCTATAATATATAATCCTACAATATAAGCTATTAAAAAATAAAAGGAAAACTTTAACTAAGGAGTTAGCTAAAATATAGCTATAGATTAATAGGAATTTATAAATAGCAACGGAGGACTTAATAAAAATAAAAGCAATTATAAAGTAGCTATTAAGCATTAGGAGAATAATTATATATAATAAAGCTAAGGGGATTAAAGGAAGTAAAGAAAGGGAAATATAAAGAAAAAAGAATTTAAATAGAAAGGCTAAAAGGGCCCCTTTAAAGGTCCTTAAAGAAAAGGAGAAGGCTTTCCTTTCCTTTTTAAATAATTAAGGAATATAAGGAAAGTAAAAGAATTTAAGCTTTTTTACTTTCCCTTTTCCTATTATATAGTTAAATAATATATATTAACTTATATAGGATTAAAAAGCAATAAAGCAATAGTTAAAGGTTATATAGGGTTTTTATCCAACTATTATATAGTTTTACTTATAGCTATATAAATAAAAGGACTATACTATATAAGCAATATAATAGGTATATAATAATAATAATATATATTTTTATATAATAATTATTTATACTTTAATATTATAATATAAAAAAATTAAAGTTAATTTTATAAAAATAAATATAAAAATGTTATTTTTAATAATTATATAATATAAAATAATAATAAAAGCTATTTAATATTTATATAATACTTATTTTATAATAAATATATTAAAAATATATTAAATTATATTTTTTTATATAATAATTATTTATACTTTAATATTAACGCATCTCCCACTTGACCTGGCCACCCAATTGAGTTGACCACCCCCCTAGCCCATACAAAAAACGTCGGTGCGTTAATCACGTGATAATTTATTAACTCTACGAATATTGGTCGTATAAAATAATAAAATATACCGTTGAATTCGTAATAAAAAGAGCTATTCAACGGTACCCTTTACTAATTCTTACGACTTATATTCGCGGAGTTATTAAACAATACGCTAAAGTAAGCGCTAAATTAATCCTTGCTTAGCGCCCCTTTAGCGTATTGCTTAATATTTCGCTGAATAAATTTTATAAAAAATAGTAAAAAATTACTATTGGATTCCCCTTTAAATAATAGATTTAAAGGTATTAATTATTAAATCGTACGATTAATATTTATAAAGTTATTATAAATTAAAACAATTGGATTTTATATAGGTTATTGGGGTGGCCAGGTCAAGTGGGAGATGCGTTATAATATAAAGGTTATTAATATTAAACTTTTAAAAAAATTAACTATTATATAAATTTTTACCCTTTAAATTTTTTTTAATTTATTTAAATATATATATTATACTTTATATAAAAATTATTATTAAAATAAAAATATTATTACTTTTACTTTAATTATTTAATTTAAATATAAAAAATATATATTAATTAGCTTACTTTATTTTAAAATATTAAAAATAACTCTTTTTATAACTATTAACGCATCTCCCACTTAACCTGGCTACCCAATTAACCTGACCACCCCCCCAGTCCATACAAAAAAAGTCGGTGCACTAATCACGTGATAATTTAATAACTTTACGAATATTGGTCGTATAAAATAATAAAATATACCATTAGATTTGTAATAAAAAGGGCTATTCAACGGTACCCTTTACTAACTTTTACAACTTATATTCGCGGAATTATTAAGCAATACGCTAAAATAAGCGTTAAATTAATCCTTGCTTAACGCCCCCTTAGCGTATTGCTAGATATCTCGCTTAATAAATTTTATAAAAAATAGTAAAAAATACCTCTAGATTCCCCTTTACCTAATAGATTTAACAGTACTAATTATTAAATCGTACGGTTAGTATTCGTAAAGTTATTAAAGATTAAAACAATGGGGTTTTATATAGGTTATTGGGGTGGCTAAATTAATTGGGTGGCCAGGTTAAGTGGAAGATACGTTATATTAAAAATAATTAATATAATATTAATTATAATATAATTAATAAGGGCTATAATAGGGCTAATGGAATTTAAAGATATAAGTTTTATTAAATATAAAGATTAACCCTAAGGGGTTAAAAGATAAATTAATTAAAATTATTTAATTAACCTTTATAATAAAGTAAAACTAACGCATCTCCCACTTGACCTAGCCACCCAATTAACCTGGCCACCCCCCTAGCCCATATAAATAGCGTCGGTGCATTAATTACATGATAATTTAATAACTCTATAAATACTAATTATATAAAATAATAAAATATACTATTAGATTTATAATAAAAAGAGCTATTTAACGGTACCCCTTACTAATTTATACGACTTATATCCGTAGAGTTATTAAGCAATACGCTAAAGTAAGCGCTAAATTAATTACTGCTTAGCGCTCCTTTAGCGTATTGCTTAATATCTCGTTTAATAAATTTTGTAAAAAATAGTAAAAAATACTTCTGGATTCCTTATTAAATAACGGATCTAACGGTACTAATTATTAAATTGTAGGGCTAATATTGGTTAAGTTATTATAGATTGAAACATTGGATTTTTATATAGGGTAAGGGGGTGGCCAGGTCAATTGGGTGGCTAGGTCAAGTGGGAGATGCGTTAGAAGTAATTTTTAGGTTATTTTTATTAATATTTTAAAGGTACGCATTTTTAATAATAAATTTAAAGCATTTAAATAATAATAAATATAAATAAAAGTAGGTATTATAGGTATTATAGTAGTAAAAGTAAAGTTAATATAAAAAAGACTAGGTTGAATTAAAGTTCTATTTATATTAAGTTAAAAAAAGCAATTATTATACCTAAAAGGGGGTTAAGATAACTTTAGTTCGGTTAGATTCAGATTGACCCAATATAGCAGTTACTCCACTTGTATATATGGTGGCGTTATTAGCGTTGTTCGAGTTTTTCGAGTGTATGCGGTAGCCCGCCTTCTATAGATATGTACCCAGGTTCTTGTGGACACCTGGGCAATCTACGTTGAATTATCAAGAGACTCAGGCCATGATGTTGATCGTCATCCCGACAGGCGCAGAGCGCGTAGGTGAGCATCGGGATATTGGCGCTTCTAGATAACCTAGCAAGGTTGTTAGAACGAATTTAAGAAGTTGATTTTTCGTTCATTAATATGACCATATTTCCCTCGGTGCAGCTTTGAACATTTCGGTCATACAGTCACCCGCCGTGTAGAATCGAGATCATAGTGGCGTTATTTCTTGTGGTGACTATCAAAGTATATCAAGATTCTTTACGTTTTCCAACCCTCTTTCTTTTCATCATTCACCTAGCAGCACGATTAAATCGAGTCAATATAAACCGAATCCCTTCGCAGAGTAACACTAAATTTAATAGACTGAAGGAAGTACAGTTCCATCGCAATAAAACTCTCTACTCGTTTAAACCAGTCATAACTATTCTTCGATTTTGATTGCAGGGTTCTCCCACCTTGGCTAGTTTTCGTACAAACTTAAACATGCATTAGCACTTACGCTTAGAATCGTGTGTGTAAGGTTGCTCATGCTTTAAGGAGGGAAGTAGGGGCCCTTGAATCACCACGCTTGCGGGGTTCATCACTCTTACATGCATATGAACTATTTTGCTATCTATATTCTGCCGACTAGTTAAGCAGTTTCTTGATTGCATAAGATGCTGGCGCCTTTCCTGCATAGTCTGCCCTTCTTGCCCCTCGTCCATAAAGATCACATTGGTCTAAGATGCACAAGGTATTTGAGATTTTGATGTTGCTCGAGGTTCTTTCTGGTGGCACAGAATTGGGGCAATCCCAACTCAATGGTATATGTAAGGCTTCATTTGATAATTATTGCGCGAGATTTTCTAGGCCGACCTTGTCTAATAAACGATATATTAGTTTTCTTACAGGGCTGCCACTTCTAGAGTTAGTATCTGGATTGGCTTCGGCAAAGATAGGGATCGATGTTCGTCAGTGAACATCTGAATAAAACATCTTGATAAACCTCGACGCGGGGAGTGCAGAATGAAATCCAATTACTCATATTCCATTCAACAGAACATGCTTAATCATCATATCCTTTTTCAACATTCTATTGAGTGTCGCCAATGACCTCTGAAATATCTAGGCTTAGACTCCAAATGGGTGACGTGTGATATGCAACAGTTGCTACGATCACATTTAGATGCTCTAGATTGCCTGTAAGAAGACTATTACTTTTCATAGCTAAAACAAATATCAAAATGCTTCCTTGCCTGTATTATAGGCAAAGCTCTACAGCAATATTAGAGTCTTTAATACCAGCTTAAATTTAACGTTTTTTACCACTTCCAGCTATATATTGGTTAGACTATGCCGATGCTTCACTCAAAGGCTGTTACCTAGTTGTTAAACGTTATCATTTGCCTATTTATAAAGCTACTTACTATGTAAACGGTGAAAAGAACTACATGAGCTATATGCATTTCAGGTTTGAATTGTATGGCCCGGGAGGTGGGGCCTGTTGCCTAACGGACAATGCTCCACATGTGAGGAATTTTGCGCTGCTACTGGCAATGGTACGGATCCCATAAAATAGCTTAAAGATACTAGCCTGTGACGCGGAATAGGCAGACGACTTGCAATTCATTATGTTAAGCTCGGAGGGAAAGCACTACATAAAGACGTTGTGCTCTGATTCTCATCCGGATAGCTGCTCCTATTTTACTGTATTGGCTCGGCTTCGAGGTAGGGCATTCAAATATGTCGCCAACCTTAACCACGATCCCTCACGAGACATTATGCTCAGTAGTCTCTTACCTACTGCTACCGGATCAGGTTAGCTCTCTTGAGTCATCTATTTCCCCTCTAGGCAGGTTTCGGGCCTCATTGTTCCAGGGAAATGAGCTGAACTCCTTCCCCATCTGGCAACTACTGACCCTAGCATGTGTAATTAGTCGACTCTGGCACGGACGTGCAAGTCTATCGGTGTCGTGCTCACCCCCATTATCTGGAGCGACATTGAGCTACACCACAGCGGCACACATGAGGGAATTGACATCGAAGGAGAAATCGATGCTTTGGGATACGACGACGAGAAAGAACGCATGATAGAAGCTACAGCTGATGACCCTATATACCCCTATAAGCGGCTGGTGTTCGAATCTTCTCGACGCAAATATGCCCAGTGCCATTTCGATCTACAAAAGTGGCAGGAGACTTTCTGGTCTCGGTCCCGTAGGGAAAATAGGTTCGGAAGGGCGACAAATAATTGCAATCGAAGGAACTTTCAGTTTGGTAGGGAGGAGAAGTTCGTGAATGTCTATAAACTCACTTCTCGAGAGCGCTGGGCAGAGCTGACACAGCATGTCCGCTCGCTGTGTATATCCATTGGCGTCGACAACGATGTGGCAAAGGTACTTGCGAGCTTTCGCAACCTGAGATCTTTGGAGCTCGTCGGGTTGCCTTTGGAGCAAGGTCACCCACTAACTGCGCCACTGATGGTATTCCCAGCACTGCAGAATCTCAAGCTTCGCGGGTACTTCGGTATAGCTCTAGTGAGAGAAATATGCAGTAATGCAGAACACATCAAGTATCTCGATCTGGGCTTGCTCGCTACAGCTAAAGATGACGAGCCGTACAAGCCTAACTTACTAGCGAACGACAGCAACGATAATCGAGACATCGTGTTCGAGCAAGAAGCTGAACACTACCAGAAAATTGGCGTTGAGTCGGCTGCCCTTGCTCTTCAAGCAGCCGAGAACGGAGAAAGTAACGGGGCTACTGAGCCTGACAATGAAGAGCAAGAGGAGTGGGAAGAAGAAGAAGAAGAAGAAGAAGACGACGAAGAGGAGGGGGAGGATGAGGAAGAAGACGACGAGAGGATGCCTTGGGCTTTACACGCACCAATCTGGCTTCCTAGATCTCTGCCAATACGATATACTCAGCTCACCCATCTCCACCTAGTAAAACCATACACAGGCGAAACTGACAATGATATGTCTCACGACCATTTTGAACACATTCCTCATCAGTATGAGCAGGTTCTCTGCCTGGAATGGGAAACACTTCTGCGAGGCGTTGGAGGGACATTACAGGAACTCATTCTCGAGCACCGCATACCTGTCGAAGAAGGGGATACCGTAGGCGATGGAGACTTGGTCCCTAGGGCTAAGGGAGGCAATCGTCATGGATGGAATCCCTTCTCGTCCACTAGTCCTGACCGTGGAGATAAACTATTCTGTAGATCCGTATTACGGCTCCTCCTGGAACAGAGCGACCGATTCCCCAAGCTCGAGCGTCTTGCTTTTCGGGGTATCCAAATCAAAGGCCTCCGCACCCAGACAGGAGCCGTTGAAGTTCCAGGAAGGAATGGAGTGCCCGACAATGACGAAAGGTTACGCAACATGTATCCCAATTGCGATATCGAAATCTTCGAGGACTCATATCCAATCCACGTTTATGCAGGCTACGTGTACCAGAGTTGGCCAGAGTCTCGGCACGAAGCAATGCAGGACGAGGGAGACGGGCTCATGTGGAATTTGGCCTACTATAACGACTATAGAAAGAGATTTGGACCTCAATGGCATTTGGCAGGCTAGATTACTCCAGACAGTGAACCTTGGTTTCTATTTCGAGGAATATGGGCAACTGAAAACCCGGTTGTGCTCTTAAGCATGGGCGATTTAATACCATTTATGGTTCTAAATGCTAAACTTCTAGTCTTCAAGGCATTCGTTTTGGGCCGAATGCTCCAGGATGCTATATCACCGCGGCAATCCATCTCGAACTCAGCTCGTCGATCCTCCCGTTCTGAATGGGCATAGCGTGAGTTGACATCGTCTAACAAGCATGCAGTTTGTTTCTGTGAATCGGTGCGATGCCTCATTTGGAACCCGGCAAGCATAAAACAGTCCTTCAATTTTTTGCCTGTCAGAACGTATTCATTCAAGGCCAATGGTAGGCAGTCCGAAATGTTTCGTGGCCGTTCTATGGCGACCTTACGGCGCCAGTTTGTTTCAAACGGCCATATCATTACACGCGCTTAACCGTAGGCGCCAGAAGAGTGGGACGCACTCTCCAGCGCCTTCACAAGGGAGACACCAAAGGGCCGGCAAAATGTCAGTTCATTACGATGGAGTATTCGTCAGAGCTGATATTCAACGCAGGCGCAACTAGTTGAAAATCAACAGCAAGAATGATTTTCAGATACTCGAGCCAAAATACGAAGGCTTAATGAGGTGCAAAGCGCACATGGCGACCATCTGTGATAATAGTATTTATTTTTAAACGCCGTTCTAGTTCTGCATGCCCTGTCATTAGCGTACTTCCGCTCTGAAGAAACTCTTGGCAGGTTGCAGATGCGGGAGGATCCTCGACAACCAATGTTCCTACTGGCTGGTTCAGCCAAGCCATGCAGTGGCCGGGTGTTGACCAGGGGCTGTTGTAATCGCACTAGTATCGTGAGGTTCAGTTAAAGACACTGCATGCAATACAGCGTGGAACTAGTATGGCGCCAATGCCGTGAAATTGAAATGGTAGCACGAGTATATAAACTCTGGCCTTCATCCCAGAGGCTTTGGATAGAGTTCGTATCGAAAACTGGTCTCACTCACTTCCATCACTGGGCTTAATCCGACTGGTTCGGACTGTCTGTTTCATTATCTTTTGTCACAAGCTGTCCGTTCTAGGTTCCATTCTTTCTAATCTCCTCTTCCACCTCGAGATTCTTACCTTACATCATTATGTTTGCCAAATTATTCATCGTGCTGGCTCTTTCCGCTGCAAACCTGGTATGCGCCCATGGCAACATCCAATCAGTTACGTAAGGCACACAATGTACTCAGTCCCTGGTGCTGTATCTCTGACCTTTGTATATCTAGAGGTGATCGAGGTGGCAACGGGACCGCACTTGGCATCAAGGGCGCAGTCGTGCCCAGATTTGGTAAAAACGACATTACGGAGAGCGACACTACGGTCTTCGGAGGCAATGCCAAAAACCCAGCTCAGAACGGTCTTGGTAAGACTGCCAACGGAGATGTAAAGGTATCCGATTTGAAAGACGCCATGGCTCTGTCCGGCAGCACTTTACCTCAAGTTTCTGGTGATGGAACTGGCACCATTACTGGCATTTGGCGAATTGTGACCAGCGACGGTACGGCAAATGATAAGCACGGAAATCTATTTGCCGTAATTGATCCGACTGGTACGGGCAACTATGAAGATGGAATGCAGCTCGTTGCTAGATCAACCATGGTGGGCAACGATGGTAATGTGGTGCAGCGTGCTTTACAAGCCATTGGAGTCAGGAAACGTGCCACCAATGTTGGTGCAGATGCGGTAAGTCAACTGGCAGAAGTTTCGGGGGCAATATACTGATTGCCGAGCTTTATAGAGATTTTCTGTGAATATCCCTACCGGTATCAAGTGCACTGGATCGGATACCGCTAGTGGGCAAGGCAACTTCTGTCTTTTAAAGGTCGTCAACAACAACAACAATGGTCCTTTTGGAGGCAATATCGCTTTCCAGATTGCTGGCTGTGGTCATGAGGACGCCAAACGCGAGGTTCCCTTCGAAGCTTGAGGTGGGAAGGTGGAAGTTTTTGTTGCATATTCAATCATTGGACACATGGAGTCTTTACCTTTTTTCGAATGGCTCGAGCGTATTTAACAGTTATTTCGATTCGTGTTTTGTCGATTGACAGCGGGACGAGTCTTGCTGGAGTTAATACTAGTGATCCAGGCTTCGAAGACACTGCCATCTACGTTACCCGGGTGGGGTAGATAAAATTGGCTGAAAGAAGTTTCTCAGCATTGCCGAAAACCCATGCTGTCACGGAACGACATAAGGAGTGCAGTACCTATGCCACTACGCCACCAAAAGGTAACGACGAGTTATCAAGTCGAGGGCTTGACGTCTTTGCACTCACTATATAGTACTGTACTGTGACACATGCGTAAAGCAAGGAATTTTGGTGGCATCCTCGGCGCATTTGAAGGCGGAAAAGACGTTGGCTAAACCAACAGAAGAATGGTAGTAGACGTAGATAGAAATATGCCGCACTATCCATATTCGTATATAGTATGGTTCACTATATCGTGTTGCCTCTCAGGAGTAACAGTAATACACCAATTTGAAAACCTCTCCACGCTGCCACTTATTTCATTAGTATGAAACTATTACAACTGGGCCCAGGGGAAGGCCCTATATACGTAGTAGCCTCAATGTATAGATAACAAAGGAGTCGATCTCTAATACCGTCGAGTCAAATTACTTGAAGAAAGTGTACTATCGACGAAGATTTTGTTGTAGTGGTGTAATTAGTGTCTTTTATAAGGATGAATCTTAGATGGAAGAAACCTTTAGCAAACTCAAAGTGACACTTTATAGTTGCCACAAAATCTCTAGGAGCCACTTCTTAAGTAGAATGCATCACAATTCTCCTTGTCCGGCTCTGCTCCTGGCTACTGTAATACCTGAATTTTCAATAATGAGAAATGGCTCTGACTAATGGACTTATTTCTCAAGGTTTACTGACAAGAAGTGTGAAGGGCGATGTAAGATAATATTGGTTATAACTTCATAATATGATGTTTTACAATGAGCGGCTAAAACCCATTAGGCTATGGGAGAAAGAATAGCTCCTAGCATCGCCCATTGAAGAAGCTTCTGCCTGAATGCCCATTGAGTGCAGGCACTTAGTTGCTAGGGCAATCACCTCGACTGCGTCTTGTTTGCTTCTTGGGGGTTGAAATAAAGATAAATAGCTTCCACACAGCCAGTAACTTCTCAACTTTCTACTTCATACTCGAGTTTCGCACATCATCTTCATGCCTACCTGCTTGCATATCCATGCCTTATTCTGTCAAATCACCCTTTTCTTGGCCTACGCCTAAAGTGTTTCTCCGGGTAACAATCTATATTTCGCGTCTCCCAGGGCTTTGCCGCGCAATATCCACTCCCAAATCGTCGCCTCTCTAAGCTCCTTGATCGCAAGCATGGCTACCATAAATCAAGAAAACAACGCCCCCTCCTCGTCCGTGGTTCCTGGTGGGTGGCTGAGAGACGGCCTGAACGAGACAAACCTTGAATCAACAGCACGCGACGAGGCTCACGATAGACAATTAGCAAGGCCTTACGTTACAAACACATGTAGTAAGTCTTGTCTTAAGCTCGGCACCACTATTCAAAATATACCTGACCAAGCCGAAAGTTCAGGTGGTAGTTAAAGCCCTCCGAAAGGTCCGACTGGTCGCAATCAACATAGGAGCAGAATGCGCTAGCTGTCCGGTCGAACTCATCGAGTTCTTCCCAGGGTTTGCTACGGTGAAATTAAGAAGGACTATGGACATCATATCCAAGGCCGAGGACCTCTTACGGGCAGTAAAGCAATGCTGTCAGGACAGGAATGTCAGACTTAGGATTGATGTGCTGTTGAATTCTGCAAGAATGTTGTTGGAGCCGATTCGTCAGTTGACACTCCATTTTACGCGTGCGGATAGCAGGCGCTGAGTGCAGCCGCTAGACTCCGAGGTGATGGAGTATGAACAGGAAGCGTTGTGGTCATGCACAGATTTCCTCGATACACATGCCAACATATTGAGATGCATCTGCTTTGTGTCTAAGAGAAACTCGGATGGCAGGGTGGCGGTCTGATGTCGGGAGTAGAGTGAGCGCAGTCTGAGAAATCATGACACAATCCTCCCTAGCATTATTTAGCACCCGGCAAAAAGGGTCGCTATTTCAAGAACGATGTGATTATAGTAGATGCGCTGATACCTAGGACCTACATAAGTGGTACCGGTCTTGAATACAATCGTAGTTGTGAATCTGTTGTTTATAAAACGATATCGCAGGGCTAGTTGCTAATAATAGACATGATTTTGGAGGCTTTTGATATTAACACGTCATGATACGGGCGACAAGGAATCATGCTTTCTCATCTCTCTTCCCAAAAACATCTCTTTAACCTGTTGCTCAGCCTCCACGCCCTTCCACTTCCGCCCATTACGATGCTTCAAGCATATCTCTCTACCATCCTCAGGATAGTAAAGCCAGCAAGCCCACTTTACCCAATTTCCCTCTTTCATCTGCGCTCGGGCGCGTTGTCCAACGTGATCCTCGATAAAATCGCCCCGCGCAATGGCTAAGCGACTCGGAAATATGCGTGCGAGGTAATGCGCCGTAAAAGCGATATGTGGCTTGTCGTGCCAGAAGAACAGAGGCGTCAACGGGACCGCGACGTCCGGTCGCGATGCGGGGACGAAATCACGTTTAAGCTGCGCTGTCAGGGTCCGGAGAGCGGGGAAAGGTTGGACATGAGGCGATGTCGCGTATGATACCATGCGGATCGCGGGGAGACAGACATATTTCACCGGCGGAGCGCTACTGCCCTCTGCCTCTGAAGCCTGCATCACTTCCAGTAGGGAATCCAAGGGAATATCGCGTACGAGCGGCCAATCGTGCTGCTGGACCCAGACATACGGCGTCTCAGTAATTCGGAGCGCAGAGCGCACCGCTAGTCCAAACCCAAGGCGAGCGACGGGCTCAATGAAGGTGATGCGCTTGTCGTGTGTTTGCGAAATCGACAGCACGACATGATTCTCGGCAAGATGAGGGGATCCGTACTCAGCCAGTGCATTTTCACGACGGAAAACGAGGGAGGAGTCCTGGTTTACTCGCGCACACCATTCCTTCAGGATGAGGCCCTTCACGTTGGCCTTGTACAGCTCGTGCGCTTGAGCGAGTGCATGCGTGACCTGGCCCTTTTTTAGACGCATGGACTCGCTAATGCGGTCGTAAGTGTCGAAGACAACGGTGACTCGACATGATAAGAGACCCGAACAATGGAGCTTGAAGGAGTCGAGTATGCTTGAAATCAAGTCTGTGGAGGGCGCAGATGGCGTTGGCGACGTCGTGATGACAAGAGTGAGAATGTCTCTGAGCGGGCTGCCGTCTTGAGCGGACATTTCATCGGGCGCTCTCCGCCTGATAGTGAGGTCGTTTGCCGTGTGTGTGAATATTCTCGCGAGTCATTTTCAGTCGGGCAGCACGACTAGTAAGCGTGGATTTATGTATCTGGTGAACCTTCTCACATTTGTCAAACAGAGTGCAATCCCGAATCAATGGAGAAGTTGTTCGGGCAGTATTCGGGGTTTGGTCTGACAGCTGCTCGCAGATGGGCGAGCGAGTAAGAAGTCTACCTACAGTAGTTACTAGGTACCTAGGTAGTTAGGTTAAGTACCTAAGTTGTCTGCCAAGCCACACTCTCTCAGCTGCAACAGCTGCAAGCTGCCATTCAACGTCGAAGTCAACAACACAAAATGGTGGCACCACCTCTCATCCAAAAAAAAAACAAAAAAAAAAACAAAACATTATTTTCTCATTAATAGTTCTATCCAGCCTTTGCTTTGGCATGGAGTCTTCAGTATGCATAGTAGCTCTCAGGGGTCACCACATCCAACTTCAAAAGGATTATGTTATGAATAGTAAGTTGCGTATACAGATTTGCCCACCAGTGCCTTAGCAAACTCCAATCCAAACACCTCATCTACGGCTTCTATCAGTCATGAGTTCATGTGACCGGGGATCAAGTTTGACTTACGGGTCCGAGAGGAAGGATGTAACGAATCATACCTGGTAACCATAAGCTTCGATCATTGTATCAGGATTCAGCTAACTTACCACAAAAAGTTTGAGGGCGGATTGTCTGCAACACCGCACCCAGTCGGCGAAAGAGGACTGCACTCGGAGTAGTAGCCTGTGACGTTAGCGGGCGCATCTAGGTAGTCCTCCGGTGCTTTGATAATATCGAGAACGATCTGGTGAACATCCAAGATGATGAACGAAGCACCAGGCCACCGCTTCTGGACAAGCAGCTGGAACGGGACACCGTACTCGAAGATGGTGTTTGCTGCCGTCGTATACTCAAGGATTTTGTCCTCGTACATGATTGTGTCGTACGCCGTTTTGTTCGGCCAGTAGTTCACGTCACCAGCGCCTCCATGCTCTGGAGCTGTGTACAACGGCGCTTTTTCTAGAGGCGCCTGCGCAAAGAGGACAAATTGTCGCCCTCCTGTGCTGTAAACTTCGTCAAATAGATCCCAGACGCAATCAACATAGTCGCCGATTGTTTTCCCCTTCGTCTGCTGATCAAGTAGAAAGCCACTGACCCCTAGATCATTGGTGCCGATCCACAGGGCATAGACAGAGTTCTCCGGTGTACGGCCCTGGAGAAACGTCGTGTTGGGGGTAGTGCTTGCATATTCAATGTCAGCTTTGAAAGCTGAGACCTCATATTCGATGACATCGGGATATTCAAGGCCGCTTGCCTCATCAAGATACCGAAGTGTGATTTCATTGGAGCAAGTTGCACCGCCGACTATTTAAATCGATCAGACACCTCCCCTTACATAGCAGCTGTGTCCGGTCAAGGAGCTCACCAGGATCCTTGGTACTTACCAGCATAGTTATAAGTCGTAGCCCCGAGTTTCTGTGCTGCGTAGTACGGCCAAGAGTAGCTACCTGCAGCGGTAACATTGGCATGTGGGATTATGGTGCCCGGGGGTGGCGTAGCTCCACCGGAATTGATGATATATACCAATCGTCCCTCATCGGTGTAGCTGTCGCCAAACAGAATCAAGTTCTTGATTTTGGAAGAAGCGTACCAGTTTATTCCAGCAGCAAAGCTACTGAGTAACAACAGATGGAGCAGCATGGCGTAGGAGATTGGTCGTATCTGGCATAGGGAAACCAATGATAGAAAAGAAGAGGGATTTTGGTGGCTCCCGTTAACATACGTGCAATTTTCATTTATACGGAAACCGAGGTCGGTTAACCTATCTCCTTGTTGGGGCGCAAGGTTACATTGGCAGGCGGACCGGCAAGGATGCCTCGAATCATTCCCCGGACATTCGACCGCTGTGATCAGCTTCCGATAATCCCGCATACGGCGAGTGCAGCACTAGTGGGTTATCGTGTCATAGTCAAGCCGAGGGTCAAGTATGCTCGATCCAGTGTTAGGATTCCCATCTCAGTAATTCGGAAGTCGTTAACCACGAAGATGAAACGCAAGTGGAGGGTAGAAATGGGGATGGCTGCTGCAGAACTGGCCCAATTGGCATTGCAATGATGCAGGAAGGTGACTCAATGAGGGCTATTTCGCTTCTCCGCCGCCGACTTTATAAGCTGAATCATCGACCCGAGGTAAGCGGTCGATGAAGGCCAGATTCAACCTGCATATGCATTGCGTCATAAATGTTAGAGTATCCCAAAATGTGTCGAGCTGAGTCTATCCCGGAACATTCAGGCGAGTGACCGGGGTGTTGGTGTAACAAGGGCTCTTATAGAGGGCTTGGAACTTAGTCATATTTATTAATAATCTACTAGGGGTCTCTAAGGCCTTGATCTCTTTCTTTCCTGTTTTGGAATGGGAGATTCCTTTGCTATTTATACTTATTTAAGCCTTATATAATCTATGACTCCCTTCCTTCTATTAGGCATTTATGCCTTAATTGTTAGTCTTTTTATAATTAATAAATTATTCTTATTTAATTATTTATAGCTTTACTTTTTGCTAGGGGTATTATTGGTTATTTTTAGGTCTTTTAATTTTATAGGACTATCTATATAATATTATTTCCCTCCTTTTAATGTTTAACTTTAAATACAATTAACTTTTTTAGGGGGTATATAAGTCCAGGGTTTTAATAGTTCGGGGGTCCGCTAATTTATTAGGATTTTACTAATAGAACTATTTAATAAAAACCTTTATATTAATGCTATCTATATATTTATAAAGTTCCTAAATCTAATACTTTTTAATTAATTAACCTTTTTATTTAATTAAATACTTTATATTCTCTTAGGTTTTTAAAAAGTTCTTAATTTCTTTTATTTAATAATTTTTAAACATTATTAAAGATATTTCCTATAGAACCTAATTAAGGTTAAATAATATTTAATTATTAATATAATAAAGTTTAATAAATAAAATGTAAAATAAATTATAGATTTTTTACCTTTTAAATAATATAAGTTTAATAATAATAGGTAAAATTACTTTATAGATCTTAAAGGAATTAAGCATCTTTTTATCTAACTTTTTAATAGGTTTTTTTATTTTAATATTTTTTATATTTAGCATTATTAATTAATCTTTAACATATTAGGGTAAAGCTCTTTATCTTTTATTTATCTATTCTTTTATATATTATTAAGCCTTTTTTAATTAATCCTTAGCTTTTTTATATATTTATATTATTTAATAAATATATAGCCTATTAAATAAATTATAAGGTTATATTATAAAAAGGTTATATATAATTAAATAATAATTATAATTTATATAAAAGGGGAATATATATATTAAAGTTAATATAGCATTATTATATATAAATTTAATAATTAATAAAAGGTCTTCCTAATTGGACATTTTATAATTAATAAATATTTATAAATAGATTTTAAAGATTTAATTAAATTATTTTATTTATTTATTAATTTAGGGGTAAAAAGTTATACTTATATAAAGTTTAATATTAATAAGCTTTAAAAAGTCCTTTTATAAATAGCTTATAAACCTAGAATCTTTATTAAAAATTATATTAAGGGGTATATTATATAATTTTTAATAATACTTAATAAAGATTTTAATAAGATCTTTAATTTTCTTTTCCTTAACTTTTAAAGGTATAAAATATTCCATCTTTATAAAGGGATTTATTATTACTTAAATAAAGTTATAGCTATTAAATAAAAGTAGGTTAATAATAAAGTCTATTATAATTAATTATTATAAAATATAATATAACTTTATAAGCTAAAATAATTTATAAAAGATATATTATAAAGCTTTATTCTATTAATAAATATAATAACCTTATATAAAGTCCTTTATAATTGCTTTAATGTTAAACTATTAAAAGTTCTTTATAATAAGTTTTAATATTTTATTTATTCCTATATATTTAGCTATTTATATATTATATTTTATTTTTATTATTTTTTATTATATAGCTATAAATATTTATAAATATCCTTTCTTATATAATAGGTTATTTATAAGTTTTATATCTTTAAAAGGTTTATCCTTTTATAAATAATACTTTAAATTATCCTTTACTGCTTTTTTAATAAATTTAATAAACTTTAATAGCTATTTAAATATAAAAAGGCTATAAAGTTATTTGGAAGTTAATAATATAAACGTTATTAAATTAAATATTAATCCTTTAAAATATAAAAAATGTTTATCCTATAAAACTAATTTAACTGGTTAATCTTTATTTCCTCCTTTTTTAAAGCAATATTAAATTAATCTTAATATAATATTAGCCTTTTTATTTAATTTACTAGATTAATAATTTATTATAAATTAATATATAAATAATTATTATATTTAATATACCTATTATTTATTTAAAACTTTAATTATTATAAAGTATAATAAGTTTTAATAGTTAAAATAAATCTTAATTTAATATTAAATACCTTTTAAATATTAATACTATTAGTTAAATCTATTTATTATTATAAATAGCTCCTTATTATATATTTTATAATTTATTTCTATTAATATTAATTTTTAAAAGTAAAAGGCAATAAGGTAAAGTTTATTATTATTATCTTTTTATAATAATATAGCTTTAAAGGTAAAATTAAAAGTATTAATTTTAATATAAACTATTTTAAAAGGATTAAAATAAATAAATATAAAAGCTATAATAAAATAATATTTAAGCTTAAGGAAAGCTTTATTTATAGCTTTTATTTACTTTTATTATTATTAATCTATTTTATTTATATTTATTAATAGTTTTATAATTAATAAAAACTTCTTAATAAATCTTTAATAAAAGTTTATAAATTTAATAAATTATTATAACTTATATAAAATAGTTAATGCTTCCTATTTAATAATATAATTAATTTTATTTTAAACTATTAAAATGCTATTAATATTAATAATATATTTAAAAAATTTAACTTTATATATATATTATTTATATTTTTAAAGTATTATTATTAAATTATATTTATTAAAGTATTATAATACTTTTTTAACTATTTTATTATATTCCTTTTTTATTTCTATATAGATTAAAAGGTTATTAAAATATATAAATAGCCCTATATTAATAAGGTTTTAAAAAATATAGTTTATTATAAATTAAAATGTTATAAAAATATTAATAAATTTTATAAATATTATTATATATTTAAAAAGTTTATATTTATAATGGAACATTATTTTTTATTTATAACCCTTTTTAATTTTAATTAAATAGAATTTAAACTTTAAGTTAATTTTAATAAACTATTTAGCTTCTTAAAATCTAGCTTATAATTTTATAATAAAGGGAATAAAATACCTTATTAATATTATAATGGTATTAAAGCTTTAATAATTTATAATAAGGTATAATGGATTATTTAGGTCTTTCTTTTCTATAAATATAAAGGATGCTTTATATAATATAATAGATTTATAAATATAGTTAGTTTTAAGCATTTTATTTAATTATAGTTTAAATATATTTAATTTATAATTATTTATAGTATAAAGGGGTCCTTAAGGTAAAATCTTCCCCTTTATAAGGTTAATCGTATAATCTTAAGGTTAATAATTAAACAATTATTATATTACTGCTTTAATTATAATTAGGAGGAACTCCTTAAATTCTTTAAGGATTTATTTTATTATTGCTTTAATAGCTACTTAAAATATAATTATTATAACCTTAATAATTCCTAAGTTAAAAATAGCTTAACTAATATAATTCTTATAGCAATATTTAAATATAAATATAATTTTTTTTATATCTTTAAAGAAATAAGTAGGTTAATATTCCTTTATTTATTATTAGGATAGGATAATATTATAGTTCTTATTAAAGATATTTAATTTAAAGCTAAGCTTTATAAAGTGGTCTTTTTAATATTAAAAAATAATTTTTTTTATATAATATTATTCTACTTTTTATATATATATTATATTAAAGGTTAATATAAGTTTAAGGTATACTTTTTTAATAAAAGGTAGCTTTTATTATTTAACTTTTAAAAAGGATATTATAAAAATAATACTACTTATATTTAAAAATACTTTAATTAGGTATTCTTAATTATTATATAATAAGGTTATAAGGATAATAGGCCTATAACTTATTTTAAGCTTTAAATTAACTTTCTTTTAAGTTAGTTTAAAGAGCTTATTTCTTATTTATTTAATTATATTAATGTAGGAAAAGTTACCTTTTTAAAGGCTTAAATTTTTATATAATACTTTATAAGGCCTAATTAAAAATCTAAATTTAATTCCTTTATTTCTATATATTATATAAAATTAATTACCTTTATAATAATAGCATTAATTTTAACTTATTTTATTATAAATAATAGTTTTATATTATTATTAAGCCTTCTTTTAATAAAAGAGGTTTTTTTAAGGGTTAAAAAAAGTTCCTTTTTATTAACGTCCTTTTTAATATAATAGGTAAAGGTATAATAGTTATTCCTATTATATTATTAATAGTTAATTTTATTTTAACTTACTTTTATTTATTAATAATAATTTAATTAATCCCTTTTAATATAATTATAATATTAAACTAGTAATTATCCTTAAGATTAATTTTAAATTTATCCAACTTTTTACTAATAGGTTTCCTTTCCTTATCCTTTTTTAAAGATTAGTTTAGGCTTAAATTAAAGCAATTCTCTTTACCTTAGTTTTAATAGCTTAATTTTAATTATTTTTTTATTAAATTAAGCATACCTTTTAAAAATAGCCTAAAGTGCACTAATATATTTTTATAAGTAATATTAACTTTTTAAATTATATTAAAGAATTTGCTATTATCCTTAAAGATATAGCTTTAATTATAATAAACTATCTTTATAAGTTTGGATAATAAGCGCTTAATAATAAAGGTTTAAAATATTAAGCTAAACCATTTTATTAAATTATTCTAATTAAGGATCTTAATAAAGAATTAGGTAATATTGCCAAAATACTTTACCTTTATTAAAGCATTAATATTTTAATACATTATTAAAGGATCCTTAAATTAAGCTTTTAAAGCTATTCGATAAACTGTTTAAATATTAATAATATTAATATAACGGATTTACTTTTAGTAAAATTAATATTATTATAAAGCTTTATCCATTATAAGGAAATTAATTTAATTAATATAATGCTTATTAAAGGGAAAACTTTCTATATATATAAATATATAATCCTTAACTTTAACCTATTATAGAAAAAACTTAAAAGTATCCTTTTTATTATAGGTATAGGGTTTATTAAGTTAAATAAGATTAAATATTATAGTTATAGGATTAATACTTCTAAATATAGCTAAAAAAGTATATATTAATTTATTAATAGAAGGGCTAAAAGGGTTATTATTATCTAAATCCCCTTTAGGTCCTCTATTAGAATTTTAAGGTAGCCCTTAAGGTGGTCCTTTAAGCGGACCGTAAAGAGGTTATCCCTTAAAGGGGTTATTATCGTCGTCAAAGCTATTAAGGTTTCCTCCTAGGTTACCTCCGGGTAGCGGGGCAACTTTAATAAGGATTTCTAAAAAGATTTTCATTATTATATATTATACTTAAAAGGTTTAAATAATTAATTAAGCTTTTACTACCTATAATGCTTTATTATTAATTTATTATTATAAAATAGCTTTTAATAATAAGTACTTTATAATAAAATAGTTAGTAAAGCTAGCTATAACATTATACTTTTTTAATTTATTAATAATTTAATTTACATTAAGTATAATTTATTTATTTAATTATTTTTAAATCTTTTAAATTATTACTTAAATATAAACTTATAGCTTATTAATTTAATTAAGGTTTATAATAAAGCAATTTATAAATTAATTAATTTATCCTTTAATTATAATAGCCTAATTATTTATAATTCTTTAAGTTTTTTAATAATTAACCTTTTATTTAATAAGCTTACTTTAAAAAGTTTAAAGGATATAATAATAATAATCTATTACCTTTTTAAACTAATTAATAATATTAGCTTAAAAATAGGCATTTTATATAATATATATAATAGTTCCCTATATATTTTAAAAGAAAATAATACTTCCTTATATAATTTTTTATTAAAAGCGTTTTATTTACTTTTAAATAACTTATATATTTATTTTATATAAGCTAATTAAAATATTATATATATTATAAATAGTAATATATATATTTTGGAATACTTTCCTTTATTTAAAAGGTATTCCTTATTTATATTTTTATAAGGATTAAGCTATTTAAAAGGTTTTACCTATATAATTATAAATATTTATAACCTATTATAAAAGGTTTTAAATTATTATATTTATATAATTTATTCCTATATCCCTAATATTTTTATAAATAGTTAGGTTATAAAGGGTAAGTTCTATAACTTTAAATATTAATTTAGGAGCTATAATAGAAGGATTTTATTATAAAATTAATCGATTAATAAATTTAAGTAAGTTTTTTAAAGGAAGTAGTCCTTTAAAAAAAGGGGATATAATTTAATTAAAATAGGCAGGTTTAGGTATAGCAGGTAATAACGGAAGGGATATAGCTTATTTAAAGGTAAAGGCTAAACTTTAATTAAGGTTAACGGAATATTTGCTTAATGCCTTTATACGTTTTAATTCTGCCTATAAGTTGTTAGGGGGTGGGATATCCTTAGTTTTAGGCTTTAAGGCTTGGTAAAGTAATAAAGGTAGGTAGTTTAACTATTGCTTATTTTTAAAACAATTTTTATATAATAAGGAAAATCCTAAGGAATTAAAGTTTAAACTATCCTTATTAAAATAATAGGAATTAAAGTTAAAATTTTATAATTAGGGTATATTTATAATTTTAAAGAAGTTTAAGGCCTTAGGTTAATAAGGTTATTAATTACTTCTTATTCTTTAAATAAAAGTATTAAAATTATAATATATAATATTTAAGTTATTAAATATAAGGTATAAACTTTTCTTAAAATACCTTTATTTAATAAAGGTAGAGCTAATATTTTATTAAAGTAATCTTATATTTATAAGAACTTAGGCTTAAAATAATACTATATATATAGGGGAATTTATTAAAGCTTATCTATTAAGTGGAAGTTTAGGCTTATATTGGAATATCCTAAAGGGGGATAATAAATTATTTATAATAAGGGCTTTTATAAAAGGCTTAGAACTTAATTATATTTATTAATAATCTATTAAGGGTCTTTAAAGCCTTGATCTTTTTCTTTCCTATTTTGGAATAGGAGATTCCTTTACTATTTATACTTATTTAAGCCTTATACAATTTATAACTCCCTTTTTTCTATTAGGCATTTATACTTTAACTATTAGTCTTTTTATAGTTAATAGATTGTTTTTATTTAATTGTTTATAGCCTTACTTTTTATTAGGGGTACCGTTGGTTATCTTCGGGTTTTTCGGTCTTATAGGACTGTCCGTGTGATAGTTAGGATATCAGGTGTTCGTGCTTGGGATCCTTCGAGACATTTCGAACTGGTAGTACTGCATCTATTGCAACTAGGTACTGTAGATTAGTCGGACAAACACAGAGCGTGGAAGATTGTCGAGAGCACGTGGTGCGCAGGGATGGAAAGGGCCTTACTCTGTCAATTTAACGGAGAAATATCTCTATCCCTATGTACTTACTTAGTAAGTGCGGGTAACTATCTAGATGTCTATAAATATCAACCTGCACGCACCTATATTGTGCTTCTAAACCCTATTCATACGAGCCCCCGAGCATCCCTGGTTATTAACACAGTTCTACGATAACAGTATGTACAGACAGAATGGAGATGGGGGTTAATCAATACGTCGTAAAGCATTCACCCCAGTGATTACCTACCTCGTCTACAACATGTATTTCGTGAATCCGGTGTGGCTGAACAGATCGTGATTGAGTTCGTGTTATTGCCTACCTAAAGGATATCAGATCGCCATGCAGACTTGTAAAACATGATGCAGATACGTATGTACATAATGCACAAAGCCATGATGGTTCAGCGCGCCATTAAGCAATGATTGGCAATAACCTCACCACTTAATCGTGTCTTAATCGCCAAAATAATCATGTAATCAACCAGTATGTTTCTTGAACAGACTGACGATCGAGTAATTAGTAGTTGCTTACCTGTATAGCGAGCTTCAAACGTGGAAAACGAGACTGAGCGCATGTCGAATTCAACGGGCAGGATGTGGTTAGGTACGCTAAATACACTATACAGTGCGATATACCCGCCAGCCTTATCCAAATACAAGAAATACAAGAAACACAAAATATAGCCAGAAATTCGGATGCGAGAGATAGAAGCCAAAGCCGACGACATGACGGACCTCCAGGCTGACTTTTCGCACAGCCGCACAGCGAGGGCCACCTAGACCGGCCAAAGGTGGCGGCTGGATTAGCCAAAGGTATCACCCACCTAAAACGCTATTATCTACTTATACTACCATACATATATTCACCTAATCAAAACAACTATAAAAAGGTCCTCAGATCCCTATTATAATATATTACTTATATATAGTTACCTATAGTTAGCCTTTATAAATTTACTTAATTTTGTAGTTGTAAAGGTGAAGTTATATTGGTGGGGACGTTGTATGTTCGAGAGCCATTGGGTGAACATACAAATTCGTTTTGTAATGTAATATGTATACATTTCTGAATACCTACACCCTTAAGGTATACACACGTGTCGTTTGACGACGCGTATCTACTATAATAGGTATAGAACTATCTACGTAATGACCTAACCTAGATATTAGGTGTTACTCAGGTTGTATCTGCGCGGTAATGCCTTGTAATACTTGTCTTTCCCAAGATCTCATATAAGCAAGCCTCGGTGAGCTTTGCTAATGAATCTAGAACAAGTCTATAGTACTAGGCCAGTGTTCATCCTCCGCCTTTCGTGAGCCACTGAGGGATGCAGCCATGTCGGTGTGGGCCGCAGCTCTCGCGCATCGTGGCCTCTAAGTACGTGGCGCGGTAGTCCTTCCAGATGGGTCATATCGGTCGGTAGTCGACAGTCTTGGTACCTAGAGAAAGGCTGTTCGCCTCCTTCGATGCAACGCGAGACTCCCAGCCAATGCATTATACCTTCTTCATGTATGTGTGTGGGTGTGTGTCCATCTCACTGTGCCCTTATTCAGTCGGTTGGTAATCTAGGGTCGTATACTTCGTAGCCTTCATCATCCGTATCGCTTTCAGCGTTGAGATCTATCGCTGTTCTTGACAAGTCTGCTCGGCCGGGAATCATAGGGGCCTTCTCCGTATCGGCGCCAACATCCTCAGCGCCAGCTGCACTACTACCGCTGACGGGTGCAAAAGCGCTCTTGAACCCAGATTTCTTGAACCCGCCCTTCTTAAACCCCGTCGCAGTTCCCTTCCCATCGTTGCTATTGCTATTGCTATTGTCATCCCCACCGCCAGATCCGAGCTTGATGCTGATCAGACCGTCCGCCTTCGCCTCGGCGCGGCGAGCGCGTGCCCCAGCGGTAGGATCCTTGACCATCTGCTTCATGTCCTTCATGCGTTGTCGATGACTGTGATCGTAGCTACCGAGATGGGCTTCGTAGTCGTTCATGCGAGAGTATCCTTTCGAGCACAGGTCACAGTAGAAGGACTGAAGGGCCGCGCGAGCCGACGAGGTCTGCGCCGGTGGCAGGGTTTGGTGACGCTGTTTAGATGGCAGTATATGTTAGCCATGTTCTCACCACTGATGCTGAATGATCAGGAGACCGTCGACTCACCGGGGGCATTTTGAATTGGACTCTCCTGCTTCAACAAAGAGGCTTGGCTCTAGGCGGACTGGCTCCGACAACCAGGAGCAATTCTATCGAGCCTGGTTGCGAATGCTCTACTTCGTACGTATTTCTGATTTGCAGTAATGCTGGGTATCATGCAAGAAAGGCAAGGTCCTGAAGTAGCTCCCTGATTGGATTAGGTAGGCAGTATATCCAGTAGCTAAGTGCCCTAAACGGAATTTAAGATCAAGATCGCGGGGCATTCTAGAAGAGTTAGCTGACGCTAGGGCGCCCACCTATCTATCGGGTCCAATCAATTGACTTTTAGAAAAAGGCAAGCCGACTTATCGTTACATCTCGACCATTCACTTTTTGCTTTACATCGACCGGGATTGTTCCAGTCCTGTCTAGACGAATTCATACGCGCCTCGGCGGCGGTTGTCGACTCGACTGGAGTTCGAATTGATGACAAGATGGCGCCTGATCCAGCTTCATTAGACCATAAAGAGTCTCAGGAAACTCTCGTCTCTTTAGCAGAACTAGATCCCTCTCCCATAGACTCGCCCGAAGAAGACCTGTCAGAACAGCTCGAAGGCTTGTCGTCGGCTACAATACCGCCGTCGCGGGCCACGGCATCGTCGCCGGGCCTCGGCAGTAGCGGTCATGGACCAATATTCTACTGTTCGTGACTACGTCATCACACCAATAGACACGCACGACGGACACACTAACAATGAATTCAACAAACAACAGTAACCCGCATTCAGCGCTACTCGAGCTATACATTCACATTCTTCGCCGGCCTTCATTTTGCCAACACGTCCTTGATACCCCTCATTTACCGTTCCGTGCCCTACTCGGAGCCCTTCCTTCTTATGACCCGCGAACTATACCAAACACGTCTGACAGAGCCTCTACTCGTTGGGTTTCCCATACTCGCCCACGTAGCTTCCGGTTTCACTATCCGTCTCCTTCGACGGAGCCAGAATAAGAAGCGGTACCATGGGGATTCAAGTCCCAGCTTCTGGGAATTGGCACGATCCAAGGCCTCTTTGTCCTCATCCTCTACCTCGCATAGCTCCTTCTCCCGTATATGGCCATCCTTCAACAATATAGCAGCATCGGGCTATGTTTTTTCGGTTCTCATCACGTCGCACATAGCCATGAACCGAGTCCTACCCCTTATTGTCGATGGAGACAGCAGTAATATCGGTCTCGCATATGTAGCTCACGGCTTCGCGCGGCATGCGCCGTCGGCTTATATCGCCTATGCGCTCCTATTGTTTGTTGGGTCTGGGCACATGGTCTGGGGAATGGCGAGATGGCTTAATCTGGCACCGCCTGCGAACTGGAAGAAAATCACATTTGATAAGCCTACGAGAAGCCGCCGCCGCCGTGCTTGGTGGACAATTAATGCTATTGTTGTTTCTTTTGCTGCGGTGTGGGCTGCTGGTGGTTTAGGCGTCGTCGCGCGGGCGGGACCTTCACAAGGATGGCTGGCCACTGTTTACGACAGCATTTACGAATACGCTGGTCGGTAGTACTCTATAGAGCTTTGATATAGGAAGTGGCTAATAATAGCACCGATACGAGCATGGCCCCGTTTACAGTTGACTTCAATGCCAGGCATAATGTAATATTTAGCGAGACGCATATGGGAGGCGTGAAACACCACGATATTTGGCTACACAGGATAATGAAGGAACGTACCTCCGACGCGCGTAATTATATAGCGAATTATCACCACGCCACCAGTCTAGACTAGACACCTAAACACTGTTTCTCCTTCAGGGAGGCTGTTCCCTGATAGTGGTCACAGGAGTGAACTGAAGAATTTATTTTCTATTGTGGAGTTAAAGTGTCTCAACCATTGATCTCTTTAAAAAAAAAAAACGCTAGTTTCCGGATGTAGGTTAGATATATACACGCACATTAAGTGCAAATGAGACAGTCAACTAAGGTTGGTTGAGTATGTTTCATATATACGCACCAACTACGGATCAATAGTCAGCGTGTCTTCCAAGCCCTCCATGCACCAAAGCCGAGGACAGCGACCGTTCCAAGCGCGGTGCCCCAAATCTGCGCCAGACGCCGTGTAACATCGTGCGAGATCTGGACCGCCGCCTCGGTGTCGTTGGCCCGCGGCAAAGGTCCGTCAGGAACAGGCACGCCGAGGAACTTGCACAGAGGCTCCCAGCCATCTTTAAGCTCCATGACGAGCAGTTTCTCGGGCGGCACCATCTCCTTAACCATGTTGTTCCAGTTGATAATAAGTTCTGCGACGGCGTTAGCTGAATTTCCCTAAGCCTACCAATCACGTATCTCTCAAAAAGCTATTTGTAATCTATCCTTGAAAGACAAGATTACACAAAGGTCCAGGGAAGCCATTGTACTTACTAGTTCCACGCTTAACCTCGCCCTTTGGTTCCAACTGCATGACTCTCTTCGCACTCTCGCCATAGTGTTTGACGAGTGAGGGGAACCACCTCCACCCAGGCACAACCCAGACGAGGTAGGGCAACCAGGGCTTGTTAGAGGCCTTAGAGACGACCATAAGGCTCTCGAGCCAGCGGTCCGGATCCCGTTCAACGAGAACAACTTTAGCCTCGGGATAGAGCTCCATGAGCTCTGGGATGAAGTCCAGCGGAGGCATGTCAGCGACACCGACGAAACCTGCCGTCACCTCGCGTAGTAGCGTTAACGTACGCTCCTTGTCGCCGCGCTTCTTGGCCTCATACACCTGAACCCATTTTTTACAGTAGGCTGTTCGGATTCGAAAGCAGAGTTAGTCAAGTGAAGAGGGAAATGGTGGAAAGGGGTTGTCATTAAGATTCAGAGTGAAAATGTGAGGATGAGACTCGTACCATCCTCCCGGTTCAAGACTTGAGTGCCACCGTGCAGAAAAGGCCCTCGAAGTAACTGTTCAATGGCCAACGCCATAGTCGAGGTTCCTGTGCGCGCATATCCGGCGCAGATAACCTGGACTTTGCGCGACGGGTCACGCGGGACTGAGGGCACACCACCCATCGTTATTTCACGAGATCTTGACTACACAAGAACTAAGAGAGAATGAGGGTCAAAAACGAATTGGATTCAGGGGAGCAGCGGCTCGAAAAACGGACTGTCTTGATTAAGGAGGACAAGCAAGGGGGTTGTCCAATTAACAATGAGTTGTTGAGACTATCAGGAAGCAAGATGGATAATTCTACTGCGCAGTCGCATATGTTTTTACCCCGGCTTTAGAAGAACAGATTGATAGCCAATTGCCGAGTTGAGAATGGACAAGAAGATTTCACGTAAGCCGGGGCTTCGTAATAGGCTAGAAGGGTGAGAGATAGCATTGGGAGGTCAAGGGCCTTGAGGGATCCGGAAGCTAGTGTCCAAGGGTTAGTTTCAGACTCCAGAGAGAGCTAAATGCAATACCATTGTCTACAATGCAGAACTTATACAGACATAAAGAGACAGATATGTGAACAGTGGCTGTTATGCTATGTTTGTCCCGACCGTTTGCGAGCATATGCGGTAGGCATCAAACCTCGTTACGCTGGCTTGGGCACGGCTTCTGCAACGAGGGAGCAGCGAACTACAGTAACCAGGATAGCACGTTTAGGGTTAATTATAGGATAATGTTATGAGGACCGGCCATTTAGTTGGCATTTAGTAAGCAGTTGTGGATGTTGTGATGGATAGTGCCGATGACAACATCTCTCTATCCCTTATTTGGACGCTCCGACGAAACAAGTGATTAAAGCACCTAGTATTGCATACGCCCCGGAAATCTATATATTGTGTCTCTCTACTCCTCGACTGCGTCATACACGTATCCGGGGTCTAGGGCCGGCAGTCGCGCATTGCCGTACCTTGGATGATAGAATTGATTAGAATTGAACAGACCGATCAAATCCTGAGAGGTTTAGATTCGTCTTTTCGCATAAGATCTGATCTGTATTTCACCTATGCGATTCGTGCTCAGGTAGGCGTCATTCCATTGGCCCTGACTGGGCCGTCGGGGTAAATAAAGCCCTTAATATTCATACCGGTATCTCACCTATGACGTCAGAGGCAAAGGCATCGTTTCAACGGCACCTGCTAAGTATAAGAGAAACCATCGACGCCAGCACTTCACGCACCTGCAACGACATCTCTAACGACATCTCTAACAACATCTCTAACAACATCTCTAACAACATCTCTAACAACATCTCTAACAACATCTCTAACAACATCTCTAACAACATCTCTAACAACATCTCCAAACGCCGAAGTGCTAGTATCCTTTAGTACCTAGAAGCAATATCGGAAATCCGATTGGCCTAGGCCTGCGAGCGTTTATCATCGAGATAACTAGTAATTCCATTTGCAACAAACATGTCATCAAACTCGCAATCCTACTCCTACAGTTACTACAGCTCCTCGACATCGTCGAACGGCGGCCCCCCACAGACCACAGCTTACGCTGAGCGCAGCTACACGGATAAGGATGGTACAACTACCGAGCGTCTACGTAAACTACCTGGGCAGCAGCCTGTTTACGAGTCCGCAGGGCGAGCAGGCGATAACCACGTAGAGGGGAGAGCCTCAGGCTCACAGAACCGCATCACTGATGTCACGGATGTCGATCGGCAATACCTAGAACGCATGGGGGAAGAGTACGCAAAGAGAGAAGGCGGTGCTTAGATGAACGAAGAGGACATACTTTGTATGATAAGGCTGATGCAGGTGAAGAGGAATGGCACGGCGGGGTGATTTCATGGTGTTAGAGATAGGCAGAATGGTCGAATTATGAACTGCCCCATCTTCGGCGCTATTAAATGTTAACATCGATGCCTCCTCATCAAGAACTACACAGTAGAGCTGCTACGTGAATACGATACTCCACGAATGGGGGATTCCGCAGCATGGATAGTCCCGCATACGGGGTTACCCGCAGTGACGGCGCGAACTCTACTCGTCAAAGGACGAGATGATTGACTGCTGCAGCTTTCGATTATCTCTTGTAATGTGATCGCGTACTCGTCCCGCGCCTTTCTATTGCATTCTAGAGCTTTAATCAGATTCTTAACTACTTTTTTGGCCGTCGGGCTTCTTGATTACCGATAATATCCCCCACGTGACCTTGTGCACCACCTGATGTCCACTTAGCTACCAGCGATGAGCGAATACATATGAACAAAGTGGGACAACATTACATAGTTCCACTAGGTGCATATTAGTATGGATGTATTAAGCTGATCGTTGGTAAGCTTGAGGATGAAGACGATGTACCTATAAATTGCTGAAGCCGTCCCGTTTCTCAGGGGTTAAAAACAGATAATCACAACATCTCAAACATTCGCGACAACACCAGTTTGTCAAATAAGCACATACCGGAGTCGTCCATCACCCAATCTCGCACCACTTGCATTATTCTAGCCACCAACAATTTCGCAACATCTCGTCTCACCACAATGACCTCTGATACATCGTCAGATCAGCTTGTCTTCTACGACATCGCTTCCGGGCCCCCAGTCCACCCATTCGCGCCTAACCCGTGGAAAGTCCGGTACGCGCTAAACTTCAAGCGCGCCAACTATGTCACAGAATGGGTTGACGTATCCGAGGTGACCGAGACCCGTAAACGCCTCGGCGTGCCCCCAGTGCGCTTCTTCCCCAATGGCGAGCCATTCCACACGCTTCCCGTCGTCAAAGACACAGCAACAGGCGACTTAGTAGGCGATTCCTTTGACATCGCCGTGCACTTGGAGAAAAAATATCCCAACAGCCCGTCCCTGTTTAAACATTCAATCGGGCTATACGCTGCTTTCAACGCTCATATTGACTCCATATTCCCCACGGCCGGAATATTGTTCTCTGAAGGCTTCCCGTTTAACCCTAAAACCATGGAGAAGAGCAAGGCCGAGTTTTGTAAGCGCGCGGGGGTGGACTCGTGGGACAAGCTTACCGTGCAAGGAGAGGCGAGGAGGAATGTGGTGAAAGACTACGAGGTCGCGCTTGGCGAGATTGCGAAATACTTTAGATTCTCCGATGGCCCCTTTATAGGAGGTGCGGAGCCGGATTATGCGGATTTCATCATTGGTGGCTGGTTGATGATGTTGAGTGAAATGGTCAAAGAGTGGAGTGAAATTCGGACGTGGCACAGCGGGTTCCTTGGCAGACTGCACGATGCTCTAGAGCCGTATAGGGGAACTTGGTGAATTTAAGGGAATGGTAGTAACTCTTATGCTCCGGTTCGTGGGTGTTTGGAACAACCCTGACATTGTCAACTCACCTCTAGTTGAAGACAAGTAACCGCGAATGATAATGTCGCGATCCTACGGCTATAGACAAAAAGACTTGTTGTATATGGCCTTGGCTTAGACATGAAGGGGTTTAAAGCCTTCGTGCAATATAAATTATTATATAGCACCCCCATAGTTGTGCTTCTCACAAACAATAATATGTCATATTTCAATCTATTCTATCTACCCTAACACCAGGCGACGACCCTATCATTCGATCAATGCTGAGAACTGTTTCGCTTTCTTTTTTATACACAGATATAATCATCACGAACCTCATCGAGTGCTGCAAAAGGCGGTTTAGATGACTCCCCCTCGCCATAAATCTCCCATATCCCAAAAAGGACTGTGTCTCCTAGTGCATACCTGCATCTCAAGATACCCCCTAGCAACCAATACATCTTGGATCTAATGCAAAATAACAAGCGCTGCTAAGGCAGAGGGCAGGGATGGTCAGGCGAAAGAAAGCTCTTTTACATCCTCGTCTCTCAGCAGTACGGTTAAATGTACGCTGCCTCACTTCTTGTGCACAATCAATATAGTGTATGCATATGGCCTCACTTACACCACCAACACCTAGCTTATGCATCATCCAAGCTCGATGTCGCCGAGTGACATGTGCGAAGCAAGTGTTGATGATAAGCTGCATTGAGAGCATCTCTGGAGTTATTACAATATAAGAGAAATACAGAAATGGAAAGCCTTGCATCAACAACGCTGAGACGATAATAGTCTGACAGAACTAACCTTAGCTGGTTAGCCGGGTTCTAAACTCATCTACGTTTCTGATATCAGGGCTCTTATCATGCTGAACGTTGAATTTCAACAGTTGTGCTGCTGCCTATGATTCAGCCATAGCTTCTGTAAGTGTATGTTTCGGAGATTCATAATTGTGCTTCGGTATGTATAGTTCCTATATATGCATCATTTTCAGATCGAGGGATGTTCATCAAGCCTTCTCATATATATAGAATCTTCATGAAAACCAACACGGCTCCGACACATTGTTCTGCCTTGCAGCCAACAACGACTGGAATGGAAGCCTGGCATCGCCAAGTTTACTGAGAATTTGCTGCAGTTGGATTGGGGCACATTTCGCCTGGGGTATTTTTCTCCCGCTACCGGACCTCCTGAATGATCTGATCTCACCATTGACGGGTGAGTTGACTACGGGAGCCGGGCTAGATTGCTCTTAATTTCTTCTCTTCTGTAGGCTGGGAAAAGGACCAGGCTACACGCTATCAGAACTCTTATGGTCGTACACAAGAACAGAAGCTTTTTATCTAGTTGGCACATCCGATTCGGCTTTGAGACAAGTGGATCGCACGTAGCACGCCATCTCCAAATACCGGGAGTACAAATGGTTCGGAGTCGGAGATTACTCAACCAGGAATAGAGCCTAACCATTTTCGGACGTCACCAGCAATCCCTCGATATTACTGTTCTCAAATACCACGTCAGATTCTTCAATGGCGATATATAGTCACCTCGGGCTGCGCTGCATCGCTTGATCAGAGCGGCTGAGAATCGGAAAATCGGGAGTTCCACACTCTTGCGCTAAGAAGCCTGTTTCCTCTTTCATCACCTACCCAGGCCTCTCTCTCTAGGGCTTTGAGAGAGGACATCATGCTGCCCAAGATCCTCTGCCTGCATGGCAGCGGCACGAGCGCCGCCATCTTTAATATCCAGGCAATCAGACTTAGTCGCATCCTCAGAAATCACTTCGAGCTGGTATTTATCGACGGCTTCATTGACACTGGCCCTGGCCCTGGCGTTCTCCCCTTCTTTGAGGGAATGGAGCCATACAAACGGTGGCTCACGGACACAGTCGGCCAGGAGGAACGGCCGTGGTCGGACCTAGAGCGGCTCGTCGAGATCTTCAACCGCAAGGGCCCTTTCGTCGGTGTTATTGGATTTTCTCAGGGCGCGAAAGCCGCGACGCATCTCATTCGCTGGCTCGAGGAGCGGGGGCAGCAGCTGGAGTTTGCAGCATTGTTCGGGGGCACCGTACCTTTCCGGTTGAAAGTCGATACGGAAGAGTGGCCCGAGCTTATCAAGCCTACTATCATCACGCGAAGCATACATGTCATTGGCGACGACGACCCATGGCGGACTGAGAGTGAAGCTCTCATGGATCACTATGACAAGCCATCGCGGACGCTCATCCGGTTCAAGGGTGGCCATCATATGCCAGTGGATGCAGACATCAACGAAAAATTGGCGGAACTTATCATCAAATGCCACAAAGAGAGTGATGACTACCCCTGATACAATGTATTTTCTGATTTTTCTCTCCCTGTGGCTCGGAGTCCATCATCATGGATTGGCGTATCATATAGGGACTATACCTGGCGTCTGGATGTTATACGAGAAAATACTTTAGATGTAGAAACTAGCCCATCTACCCCAGTCCAACTTGTTTATATGTCCCAACATTTGTACTCCAAGAACGTACACATGTGCATTACCACTAAAACCAGGGGAAGATGCGTACAAATCGTCGTGCATAACCTGGAGGAAGCAAGGGTAAGAATTTAGTATTGAAATGATGACTATGTGTCCGATGGCATTCTTACCAATCCGCACCTAGTATTCTGCATCATGGCATCTCGGGCTTCTGAGAGTTCTATCAAGAATAACTGGTCTAGATATAATATTGAAGGCCATTTTCGGAGTCTTTACACCTAAAAGCAGTTAGGGTCTGGAGATGCATTATGCCTAATCTATGATTCACAGTGTCGATAACATACTGCTCGTATGCCTGTCTGCCTAGAGCTGAGCTACTTGATTCGGTCAAATGACTCCCGGTACATGGTAGATGAGTCACATAGCGTCCGGGTAAGTCTTTGTCTTATCAATCAGATCTAATCAATCGGTCCTTTTCGCGTCCGAAATCGCGACGATGGCAGGTATCCTATTCCCGTGCTCGGTACGAAGACAGCTAGGACTTTGGGTTCTAATATATAAATGGCCACTCTCCCCCGAGAACATTGAATTCAAATAGTTGACTAGGAAGGGCGCAACCTCTCATAACATGGCAGACATGGATTGTATTACATCCGCTCTTGCCGGCGCTTTTCGTTCCAAGAGACTTGTATACAGAGCGATTGAAGACAATGATGCTGACAAAAGCTTTCTATATACACAGCTGCAATTGGACCCAGCCACAAGCGCCTTATCGGACCCGTCCATCCACCGTCCTAGCAACAGAAAGGAGAGTGACCAATGGGTCGATATCCTCGTCAGCAATCCACTTCTTTCCGTCATGATATGTCTACCAGGCGATTCTTTGAAAGATTTTGTGCCAATTGGGTATATTTCTATCAAGGGTCTTCCAATGTACCAGCGACGCGCATCTCTGAGCATTCAAATCGCACCAGCGTACCAAGTCAGTGGGAACTCGTTGAATCTGCCAGCATAATAATGGGGAGTATTCGAACCACAGGTGTTTCAAAATTGCATAATTTTCAACCTTAAAAGAGTTACCACAGACGCTAACTTCATCTTCATTGGTGTGAAACAGAACAGAGGTTATGGTTCCGAGGTGATCAACTGGGCCATGGATTGGTCTTTCAAATGGGGAGGGCTTCACAGTCTGACATTGGGTGCATCCCTCTACAACGAGAGGGCTGTTGCTGTCTACAGAAAAGCAGGTTTCAGACAAGAGGGCATCAGTAAAGAGGCCGTGTACAGGAACAGGAAGTGGTGGGACACCGTGCAGATGGCGATATTGGAACAAGAAGTAAGTAACCAGCTTCTGAACCCCCAATTTATTGGTTCTGGGATGAAGTAAAGCGTCTTTCCCCAATATTTCCTGAATGTTATCTCGAATAACTCTTGGTGACGCAAGTTTTCTAGTGGGAGGCGTTAAGAGGCACCAAGAACTAGGCAGGTGGCGTGTCATTATCTTAAGTTTTTCGAGCTCTGAGACTTCGAAGATGAAGATAATGATGAGAGAGGCGGTAGCTTTTTACTGCCATTGGGAGTATCCAGGCTTTCTACTTCCTAATAAAGTGGTGTTGCATGGCTAAGGGGAGCTACAAGTCACCCATATGTCGTGGGTTTGAGAGTTACTTTTGATTCCATGTAATTTCACATGTTGACCTTCGTCAATTTACTAATACATGTACGTTAAGCCCACCAAGGAAACATTCCCAGCGTGTGTCAACTTCCCAGCTAGATGATTTCGACTACTCGACTACCTGACTTACGAACAAATCTTGGCCACATGGCTATCGGTAGGAATGTTCAAACTGCTAGGTGATTCCAACATGCATATAAAAACTCCCAAGCCTTCTGGTTTGTCTTGGGCTTCTGTGAAGGGCAGTGGAGAGAAGAAAGGGGGACTTGTAAGTTCACGCCGTTGTTTCGACCAAATTCAAATATAAAGGTCATTGTCTGAGCAAAATTAAATCACACGCTAGTATTTTCTCGGATCTACGAAGACTCGACCTAGAAAGCTTGGTGGAAGCTATTCGTAGTTTCATGCTCGAGTCAATATAGTCTGGGAAGGATTCAGTAATAGACTTCATAATTAAGCTTAGTTCGGCCTGTACTACAGCTGCACTTCAACTCTGTCAAGGATACACACCTTATCTCAACATTCTAACTTTCACAAATGCGTAAACAGAATCTAGCTTGGCTGACAATACTCAAGGATACAGGTTGCAAGACTATCACACTGGGTGCTTCTTGATTTTCACGATAACACCTACCTGTTTCAAAGCAGACTCTAATATTCAATGGATCTTGCGGAGACCCCTCTTAATGCTTGTCTGGTTGCTGGCCTCCCGGTATATGCAACTCTCCCAGTCTCGGATCCGTGTTGTTCCCCAATTATCTGACTCTGGAGTCCAGTGACATTCCTCGTAAATGAGACCAAAGTCTATGTTCCAGCCGTCTGTTTAGACGTACGTTAGTCAATTGTTTGACCTTATGATCTATGCATAGATCCTGACCACCGCTTACTGCAGATGTGATACTGGTCAGGAAAGAAAAGGAAAAAAAAATTAAAGGGAAGGAATAGGTTTCTTACTAGAGCTGACACCACCGTTTACTGTTTCAGCTAGAATGTCGAATTCAAATTTGAGAGCATGAGCGGAACGACCAAGGAAGCACGGTGTGAACTAAGTAAAAGGTTTAATTAGCAGCTATGCCTATGGTCCAGGGGCTAGTTCAAGATCAAACCCATGAGCTGTAACGTGGATGGCTTCAAATATCTGAGTAATACGAGATACTCACAGTTGGGTTTGGATTCTGAGCCGTGAGCTTGAATTCACCAGTGAAGGGTTCATCTACGCCAACAGCTGGGTTCACATTCAGATTGACCTATGACAAGTCACAGCTGGAGTCAGCTAAGAGCACAACACCATGATCAACACCATAATACCATTCAATCAGGAATGAGAAGAAGACAGGGTGCATTATAACCTTGGTGAACCCCCAATGCGCAGCACGACTTACCAGGTTGGCCGAATACCGGTCTTTCCCAATCGGATAGTGAACTGGGCTGGTTCTATTCGACACCTCAATATTCAAATCAATTTTCGTCCCCAAGGTGTCGAAATTATCACCCTTCTCCAGAGTGAGGTTGCTGTTCGACCAAGTCACATTGGCGATAGCGAAACGAGTTTGTCTGTTGCCTGCGCCAAAGTCCGGCTCGCTGAACTCGACTGTTGCAATACAATACATAATCGAGTAGCTTGGGGGGAAGCCGTGGGATGGCGTGTCAACGTATAGGTGTAGATCTGGAAAATTTGCGTGCATGGTGCTCATGTCCTCGGCGAAAGTAACACCCACACCACCAACGGCGTTGCAGCTGTACGGTGTTTGCGACCGGACCGCAGCGGCATTGATGGTAGCGCTCACACTACTCACTCCAGAGAGAGCAGCCACAAGTAGCGTAGTTCTCATTTTGCCGTAAGCTGTGAGGGTATGGTCTTCCGAAGAGCGTTGAAATGTCGACTAGAACAGTTTCAATAAAGCAATTGTTCTGCTGGTATTTAATTGGGGCGCAAGTGAAGAATAAATATTGATTCAATGAGTCTTACCACGGAGTACGTTTCTGGGTGATTAATTATGCGGGCCCTTGCCTCATCGCGATCCGCAGACCCTATTGATCGGCACTGACAAATTCCCTTACATTTATCCCGCTCCTCTGCCTTAAACAAACGGGGCGTAACCACGTCGACTCCGGTGCGCTGCCTCTTTTCTCTACAGACGGCCAACTTGGTATGGCGTTAGGTGTTGCTAGTGTGGCCTAAGATCATACGGCCAAATAATTTATCGCTTGAACATGTCGCTCGCACCTCTGTGTAGCATAGGCAGGACCCTTTATTTCTCGTATTGCGGGATTACGACGGAACCATTGAGAGTGGCAAGGGCCCCAATCCGGCGACATGTCGCAATCATGCGTTGCACTGCAGCGAAGAATTAGCCGGATTGGCGGGACCTCTCGCTTGCGACCTTTGTATGTAATTGACAATTGGCCTAGTACACCAGAACCTCGTACTCGCTTCACTCTATCATCTCTAGTGTTGATTCTAGACATAATTACTGACGCCGGCGTTGAATTTCAGATGCAGTAATTGTTCGTATACTAAATCCAGCAAGCCGCTTCTTGTAGTGACGCTTCTTGGACCTCTTCAGAGCCTATGCCACCATAGATAGCCCCCTAGTCTCTGGTTGTAACCCTCATTGAACCTTCGGCGAGCTAGGGGTTGTTGCATGCACGAATGCACAACCCCAAGGGAGTTCCTAATATACCTGGCTGCTGTGGGAAGGGGGTTATCCCGAACCGCATTTCCACTTAACTAACTATCGAGTTACTTGGGGGATTAGTTTAATGATACAGCCGACTACGTAGTTGATATTACCAAAGACCTTGGTATGTCCGTTAGTGCATGTCGAGCAAGTAGTAGCTGAATCTCTGTCAAACTCGACGGCAAGGGCTGGACCGTGAGTAATAGGCGTGGTCGCTGCGAATGGTGTCCTGATGTGTCCCTTGGTGATAGATCATCTGACAGGATGGCCTGAGCTTTGGTTCATAGTGCCACGAGATGCGTAGCATGCTCTAAGTATAGGGGATTTGCGGAGGGAACAATATCAATGAATGATAGATATGAATCCTCCGTAAATAGAAGTAGATGGTTTACTTGACACTGTTGGTGTATGAGAACATCATATCTCAGTCTTCTGCTACCAGCTCCGTTTGATAGATCGTTAAGGTTTTATCAGCGGAAGGTAACCAACAGTGTTTAAGGCAGTTAAGCGCGTGATTATAGAACTCTGTGTGTTACCCGCATCGTGTTAGAGTCAGTGGCATTAGTACATTCGTCCGAAGACTTTGTCATCAAGCCTAACTAGTCAGTCTGGTATAGAAAAGATTGCAGAAAAGTATTTCTCGGTAGGTATTCCCCCGACCTCGCATCAAGCCAACACTCCAAGAATCTTAGAAAGCTGAATAGTTCGAGAAAGCTGCGCCATCCCAGCTTCCAACAGGTTCGATATGTTTGGATTCTTGATTTGCAGGTATCAATGGCTATGAGATGTGTACGTATAGGCGGGGGATTAGTAATGATTTTGCAGTTAAAGGGAGATCATTGATGAAGAAAAATTTAGAAGAGACTTTATCTAGCTAATATCGAAGCTAGTAAATGGATGACTCAATTATCTCTAGATAAAAAGAGTAAATAAATAAAAGTTGGAAAAATTGGATTGCGATTCCTAGTTAACTAGGAAGCACCGGGAATTGAGCCCGATGCGGGGGTCGAACCTGCGGCGCGCGCGCGCACGTTAGCGATGAACAAGTCGGGCTCCTATGACTGATTGTGGGGACTTACCCGCAACCTTGAGATTAAGAGTCTCACGCTCTACCGATTGAGCTAACCGGGCAGCCTAAGCGACTGAATGGGAGCGGTTAAGCTAACTAAACCTATACCCATGTCTCCTCACACCTAAGCGATTAGATAAACTACATATAACCTACCACTTCAGGTTAATAATTAAATTAAAGTAATTAAATAAATAATTAAATTAATCTTTAATTATTTATTTAATATATTTCTCATTTAACTTAACTATTTAATTAAGCTAGCTACCCTTTTAACTTAACGCATCTCCCACTTGACCTGGCCACCCAATTGAGCTGGCCACCCCCTTAACCTATATAAAAATCCAATGTTTCAATTTAGAATAACTTAACCAATATTGGTCCTACGATTTAATAATTAGTACCATTAGACCCGTTATTTAATAAGGAATCCAGTGGTAATTTTTACTATTTTTTATAAAATTTATTGAGCGATATATTAAGCAATACGTTAAAAGGGCGCTAGGTAAGGATTATTTTAACGCTTACTTTAGCGTATTGCGTAATAACTCCACGGATATAAGTCGTATAAACTAATGAAGGGTACCGTTAAATAGCTCTTTTTATTACTAATCCAATGGTATATTTTGTTATTTTATACGACCAATATTTGTAAAGTTATTGAATTATCACGTGATTAGCGCACCGACCTTTTTTATATAGGCTGGGGGGTGGCCAGCTTAATTGGATGTCCAGGTTAAGTGGGAGATATATTATATATAATATAATTAAAAAACCCTATATAAATACTTTTATATATATTTTATATTAAAAAATAAATAAGAAATAAAAAGTTAAAGAATATTTATTTAAAAATATATAAATATAAAGTATTTATAATAAACTTTAAAATTTAACTTAAAAAAGATTACTTTAATTAATTACCCTTAAAAGTTTAAATTAATTATATAATTAATTATAATATATTTTCTATTTAACTTATTTATTTAATTAATCTAGCTATATTTTTAACCTTTATATATATATTTAAAAATATTTTAATAATTATTTATATAATTAATTTAAATAAATTTAAATTTAAATTATTAAATATTTTTATAATATTTTTATAAGTTTATATATTATAATTAAATTTATTATAAGCTTTATAACGTTTAATATAAGTTTCCTTTTTCTTTATATAATAATTACTTTAATATATAATGTAATTTTTTACTTTAATAATATTTTATACCTTTATTTAATTTTTAATATTTTAAATAATAAAAGATTCTTTATTTTATAATTTAATTTTCTTTATATAATATTATTTATTAAATTTATAATTTACTTTATAAAAGCATTTAAGTTCCCCTTTTAATAATATAAAAAGTCACGGCTCCTAGCCTTTAGGCTAGCCGTACGGCCGTACGGATGACGTACGGGTGATAGTTCTATTCTGTAGCTTAGTCAATAGCCCTTGCCGGACCTCCGGAAGCCTATTCAACCTACCGTAGCGTATATAGCCTAGTTGACGAAGGTCATGACCTAGCAAGTCATCCTTTACTTCGTCACCTTACAATTAATAGTGTGTTTCCAGTATTCACCGACGACACTACACATCGCGCCCGTCGTGACATAAAATAATATATAATATTAATTATATTATATATAATTTAACTTAACCCTTTAATAATAAAAATAAAAAAGCTATTTTAATATTATATAATTTTATATTTAATATATTTAAAAAGGAAATTAATTTTAATTAAGTTATTTAAAGTTATAATTAACGCATCTCCCACTTGACCTAGCCACCCAATTAACCTGGCCACCCTAATAACCTATATAAAACCCTATTATTTTAATCTTTAATAACTTTACAACTACTAATTGTACGATTTAATAATTAATACCGTTAAATCTGTTAGTTGAAGGGAAATCTGAAAGGTATTTTTCATTATTTTTTATAAAATTTATTAAGCGAGATATTAAGCAATACGTTAAGGTAGCGCTAAGCAAGGATTATTTTAGCGCTTACTTTAGCGTATTGCTTAATAACTCCGTAAATATAAGTTGTAAAAGTGAGTAATGGGTACAGTTAAATAGCTCTTTTTATTACGAATCTAATGGTATATTTTATTATTTTATACGATTAGTATTCGTAGAGTTATTAAATTATCACGTGATTAACGCACCGACGTTTTTTGTATGGGCTGGTGGGGTGGCCAGGTCAATTGGGTGGCCAGGTCAAGTGGGAGATGCGTTATTTAATATATTATTATTTTTATATTAAAATATAAAGTAATTTTTCCCTATTAAAATAATATATAATAAAATTATTTAAATAATTATAAACTATTTTAAATTATTTAATTAAATAGTTTATAATTTTTATTTATATTTAATTAAAGTTATAATTATTATAAATATAATTTTACTTATTATAAATTTAATTTTATTAAAATTATAAATATTTTCTTTTTAACTATTATTTTTATTTATTATTTTTTATATATAAATAAATTAAATATAATATTTAATTAAATTTTTATTTAATACCTTTTAATAATTAATTTTTTAATTAAAATATATTTAAATTTTTAAAGTTTAATATATCTCCCACTTAACCTGGCCACCCAATTAACCTGGCCACCCCCTTAGCCCATATAAATAACGTCAATGCGCTAATCATGTGATAATTTAATAACTCTACGGATATTAATCGTATAAAATAATGAAATATACCATTGGATTTATAATAAAGAGAGCTATTTAACGGTACCCTTCATTAATTTATACAACTTATATTCGTGGAGTTATTAAGCAATACACTAAAGTAAGCGCTAAAATAATCCTTACTTAGCATTCCTTTAGCATATTACTTAATATCTCGCTTAATAAATTTTATAAAAAATAGTAAAAAATACCGTTAAATTTCCCTTTAAATAACGGATTCAAAGGTACTAAGTATTAAATCGTACGGTTAATACTCGTAAAGTTATTAAAGATTGAAATAATAGGGTTTTATATAGGTTATTGGGGTAGCCAGGTTAATTGGGTGGCCAAGTTAAGTGGAAGATGCGTTTTATATAAAGTTTATTATTCAATTCTTTTTAATTAACTTTTAAGCTTATAATATTATTAATTAATTAATTATATTTTTTATTAAATTATATAAAAGTAGAAATAATTATATTATAAAATTAACGATATATTATATAATTAAATTTATTTTATTTTATTTTAATTAAGCTTTTAAAGGTAATATTTTATTTGTTAATTTAAAACCTTTTATTTAAAAAGCAAATATTATATAAGAAATATTATAAATAATAATAATATATAAAATAAATAATTTTAAATTTTATTTAATAATTTAAAATATAAGCTATAGGTTACTTTTTTTATAAAGGGTTTCTATTATTATTAATAAAACAATAAAGGATTTTATATATATATATATATAAAAGTTAAAAATATAGTTAAATTAATTAAATAGCTAAATTAAATAAGAAATGCATTATAAGCTTTAAAGTAATTTATGAGTTTAATTAACGCATCTCCTATTTGACCTGGCCACCCAATTGACCTGGCTACCCCATTTTCCTATATGAAATCCAATATTTCAAACTTGAATAACCTTACGGAAAGTGGGTCTACAGACTTATAATTACTATTTTTGGAATATTAACTTAAAGCGAAATTTAATAGTATTTTTTATAATTTTATAACTATTTTATTTATAGGTATAGAGTAAACTACGCTAAAACTTTAGCGCGGTTTTTAATATAGGGTTAAGGAAATTAGTTATAAAATTATAAAAAATACTATTGAATTTCGCTTTAAGTTAATATTTCAAAAATAATAATTATAAGTCTGTAGACCTACTTTCCGCAAAGTTATTCAAGTTTGAAATACTAGATTTCATATAGGAAAATGGGGTAGCCAGGTTAATTGGGTGGCCAGGTCAAGTGGGAGATGCGTTAACTTTATATATAAATTATTTTTATATTATATTTTTTTTTTTTAAGTTTTATCTTTTTATTAAATCTTTTTAATATTATAATTAAAAAAGTTAATTAAATAATCCGCCTTATAAAAGCTATATTAATTATTAATAAATTTAAATTTAAAGTTAAAAAAGAACCTTTAATACTTTATATTATAAATTTAATATATAAAAAATATTAGGAAGCTATATTTTATATAGAATATTAATATATTATAAAGTTATTTATTAATATATTAATAAGTAATATAAAAAAAGTTAAAATAATAAATCATCCTTAATATTACTTTAAATTTTAAAAGAAGAAAATAAAGTTTATAAGTAAAACTATATTTAATATTTAAAAAAACCTTAATATAAATTATTATTAAAATTTTAAATGAAAATTATTAATCAAAAGAAAAGTTTAAAGGATAAAGCTATTTTTATTATTTAAAACTTATAAAAATTTAAAAATATACCTTATAAAAAAGGGTTTTTATATAATAAAGAAACTATACTTTAAAAGCTATAAAAAATAGCTTTATAATATAAGGTTAATTAAAGGATTATTTATAAAAAGCTTATCTTTAATTATATATAAATATATATATATAAATTTAATAAATATAATTATTTTATAAACTATAAAGCTTAATTAATAGTTTAAAGAAATTAATAACCTTATTTAAGTATAAAGGAAATATATACCTTTATATTAATAAAGAAATCTTTTAATACCTTAATAATAATAATAAGAAAATTTAACTTAAAATTAAAGCAATATAATATAATAAATACCTTTATTAATATTAAATTAAATAAAAAATTTTATATAAGGATGCTTTTAAGGTATAAAAAGTATAATACTTTCCTATAGCTTTAAAAGGCTTTATATAAGTTTAAAAAGTTTCCCCTTTTATAATAAAAAAAGTTAATAATTATACTTTTTTATTTAAAATATATAATAATACTATATAAGTTATATTATTATATAAAAAAATAAATATTAATATTTATTTATATAAATAATAATATTTTTATTTATTAAAGTTATAAAAAAGCTTTAATAATAAAATTAATTTAAAAATT